TATATATATATATATATATATATATATATATATATATATATATATATATATATATTATTCATACGGAGTTTATACATGTAGCAGTTATGAATAAAGTCTACATTATTTTAAAATGTTTTTAATGAAGCTTTTGAATGTTGTTTACCGAAAGAGTTTATAATATTTATATATTTTAAATTATTAAAATTTAATAACTCTCTCTCTCTGTTTGAGAACTTTTCTGGGACACGTAGTATGCAATGAAAGATGTGAAAAATACAACGAACTATAAATATTCTATACATAAAAGCCGTAAATAACATTAAAATATAAATCAGGCTATTGTAGCTGAGGTATTTTCGTACATCAGAGTGAAGCATATAGCTTCACAAGAAAAAATAACAGTCACTTATAAAGCTACAATATAAATATTTTTAAATATTAAAAAAAATTTATATCTAAGAACTGAAAAATGTCTAAATAACGACATTGACTATGCAAAAGGATAACATCAATTTTACTTTATCTAATTATTGTTATTAATATTATTTTAATATTTTAAGTAAAAGCTCAACAAATAAATAAGACTGTTAAAATTATCTTGTTTATTCATTTATACTTAACCACAATAAAAACGATTAAAAAAAAATTTTTTTTAATTATGAGAAAGTGTTTCCACCATTGTGAATTTGTGATATACGATATTATATAATGTATACAATTAATATAATTATATAATGTATACAATAATATAATATAATAGGTACAATAACATAATAACAATGTTATATTTATATATTATATAGAATTCTTATATAGAATTTTTATATTTTTATTATATAAAATTCTTTAAACGAGCTAACTTTAAATGTCGATTTTTCAATACTAGTTTAAATTAGATTTAAGATTAAATTATTATTGGAAAATTAGTACTAAATCGAAGATATTTTTTCTACATCTTTACTTACAATTTGATTTTTTTCATAACCAGTTTAAAGTCTAGGATTAAAAATATTTTTTTCTATATCCTCTACTATGAAAGAAAAAATTTAGAAATTAAAAAATATTTATTCGCGCGCACGATGGGTAGTAATAACATATTTATTTGTTCTAATATATGAAATTTATTTATTTATTTATTTATTTATTTATTTATTTATTTATTCTAATATATGAAATATTTTTGAAATAAGAAAATAAATATTTGCTTAAAACATTAGGTTTTCATGAAAGTAATTATTTATTGTAGTTAAACAAAAGCATTTAGATTTAGATAAATATGTTGTTAGTACCCTCCAAATAAATGTTTATTTTTTAAATGTTTTTTCTCTCATAAATTCAAAAGTTTATAGTTAATATATTTGTTTTATAATATTATTCAAATTACTTTTCTGGATTTTTATGTATTCGATATACTTTTATTTATTTTTAAGTTATTTTGTCTAAAGAATCATATGTAATAAATATATATATAATATTACAATATTGTAATATAATGCTACAGTATACTTTATGACAAACTTAATGGTGAAAAATCAGTTGTTTTGTAATCGTTATGAGATATTGCTATTTATGTTACTCTTAAATATAAGTGAATGAACAAGACAAAGTAAGTTCAATAACAAAGTATTATTTAAAATATTTTTGATAGCTATTGTCCACAGTTGCAGATTACCGAATATCCCTCGTTAATATAATGAATTTAATACTATATTATATTATATTTAATATTAAATTCCATGACCTATCGCTGTTAGTTCAAAAGCAGAATATGAAATGAACGAAATAATCAATGTCATATACATGTATTATGAGATACGTTCTTATTTTCCTGCATCTTCCAAAATTGAGAACCACTAGTGATAAGCGCGCGTACGTCATCATCACGAGCCTTCCTGATACGTCACTGGGCGCGCAGCAACTTGCGACTCATGTTCTCCTGCTATGTTGCGCGGCAGCTCGACATCTTGCGGTTCCGTGCGGATTCCTTGCCGCACGATCGATCGAAGCGCGATCGCGACGAACCACGGGACGAATCCATTCCGAAAATACGACGCCCGAATGCTGCACTGAGGAACAGAACGAAAGCCGATTACTCTCGCGACAGACTCGTCTTGTGCACTCTTTTTCATTTAACATCCACTTATACTTTTCGTACTTGAAACTGAATTAATTGTGCACACACGAACATTGGGCGAGAAAAGAGGAAGGCAAACGGAAAGATTATATGGTTATTTAGAGAGTAAGAGGTTAAAAAAAGACGAATAG